ACTATATCAGGAGACATAGGATGCTAGAACGCGCGCGATTGTGCTCGCGCACAGAGGACAACCCGGCTATCTTCTTTGCTGCATTTTAAAATTCAAAAACTTCAAATTTTTGCTACTACTTTAATGGTATCTCGACAAAAATTTCAATCACACCATTTATCCGCCAATCACACCATTTATCCGCCCTTTTTCTTGACTATTTGCCATTGAGTGGTATCGGTGGTGCTGTACATGTCTTCCTAGTGCTTTCTTCAGACGAGTTGGCTGAAGAAATTTGTGTTTCGTGGAGCATTGTGATTTAGTAGTGAATTTAATCCTAAAACAAAATGTTGTTACGGAATTCAGTTCAAATATTATTAGGATGTCCAATTATGAATGCACGTTTATGAATGCACGCCTGCTCTTGAACAGCACACCTTAGAGCTATGCAATTTGATCAAACTTTCAAATATGGATAAAATTCAAATCAAAGATCAAATTTGGCAATGGCTAGAACCTAGTTTTGAGTTTTGGTGTTGGTATTGGCTCTTCAGCCAATACCAACACCAAAACCCAAATCGATCAAGATTCCTGGAAAGTCTCCCGTCAGTCAAAAGTAGTGAGCTTTCATTTAGGGTTGGAAAAATTGTACTATAGCACAATCCCATCAAAAGTTGTCCATCAAAGAAATGATTTGATAAGGGAGATGAGTTGAATCCAAAGTAATGCAGGGGATCGTTGGATAAGTTGGGCCAACTCATTGTCATTAGGTGGTTAAATTTCAAAACGGGGCCTTGATTGGGATCAAACTGATAGGACCGATTACATCACACGAATAAAAGCCATATTTTGGGTAACAGCACAGAAGATGTTGAACACTTTGCTCCCAGCTCTCCCAGTTTGCATAAACTTCACCATTCGTGTCTATGAATCGACGATTAAACACTGAGTCATTCCATGGAATCGAAAAAACAGGAAATTTTCTTTGGTGAAACGTTTTCTCCTCCTTTGATAAGTAGCAAACAAAAACTACGGCAAGCTCAAACTTTTTCTCCTGGCTTTGTTTGACTTCTTAGGAAATTCTCAGATAAATTTCTTTGGCCATCTCGCGTTGTTCCTTTGAATAAGCTTTTGATGGACATCCAAACATAGCGAACAAAATTTTTGTGTTGCGTAATTCTTCATCGAAATCAGTGAGATCATGAAATTGAGTTCCGTGAAACGAAAGATAGTAATATTTTTGGATTCGGTGCACGGTTTCTTCCCACTTTGTGCGACGTCTGGCCATTTGTTTTTTGAGGAAAGGCTCTTGTACACATATCTTCTTTTGAGGTCTTCTTAAATTGCGGCTGTTGAGTGTTGTCGTGCTGCCGTTTCTTTGCATTATCTGAAAATTTTATTTTGATTTAAAAAAGAGACCCGTTTCCCGCATTCCTCTACATTGAAACCTGTAGAGCCATGCGGGAGCAAAACCGAAAACCAAAAGAAATGCAAGCATCACAATCTGAAGAATTTTTAGGAAACACATGTAAAAACATGGGGTAAATGTTGCAAAGGATCTCTTGTACTCTTTTCTTATAGTTAATATCTTCTAAAGTCATAGCTAGCTACTAGAAAGGGTTTAAAAGCAGGGTAGAGTTTAGAATTCTTCGTCTTCTTTTTCATCCTCGTCTTCTTCGTCTTCACAAAACCACCAGAAATGAGATTTAGGAATATTGTCAAAATTTATCCTTTCTGGAGTCACATTTTCAGTTTCAAGTCCAGTGGTGTTTACAATGTATTGCTCTATGCATTTCACTGGTTCACTCACGAGGACTTCTTCGAGACGCTGAAATGAGAGTGTTTGATGTTTGATGTAAGTCAAATACTTAGGAAAGTTACCTATCGTAAATACTGTAATAGTACACCACCCCCATAATGACGGTGCGGAGCGTTGCGTAGTCTAACTTTGGACGCGTTTTTCTCGACCCCGGTTTATGCCACAATGCGCGCTTAGGTATCAAAAAATAACTGAAATTCAGGGCTATTTTTTGATACCAAAGACGCATTTTTGAAAGTACGGGTGCTTTGAAAAAAATGAAATACGAGGGGAATGGGGTACTATTACAGTATTTACGGTAAGTCATTAAAACAAGGAAAAAAAAGCTGGATTTTGGGCTTTTAAAGGTATAAATGTCTATTAAAATGAAACGAATGTAATAAATTTTTCTTCTCAACCAAATTTTCAAAAAGTGGACTAACCCGAAGTTCCTGTGACTCGGAAATGGCGTCTGAGTCACCTCTTAACTCATCGATCATAAATTTGAACCCAGAAAGTGACATTTGAGCTTTTTGTTTTTGATCCAAATTGATTCCAATAGAATACTGCTTATAAGCAGGCTCAAACAAAGATGAAGATTGCAAGAGTGCACTCTTCGCCACATCAATGCTCTCACCAGAAAAGAGTGGCCTCTCCGCTCTGAAAGCTTTGATGGTAATTTGAAGAGTGAGATCGCAGATTTTGGTCGAAAATTTCGCTGCTTTATAAAGAATGACAATTTTCTGGAGTAAATCCTTTTCCATATAGTATTGATTGAGCAGAAAATCGAGTGGTTGTTTGGCGTTTGGCTTGGACGTCCTTATATGTACAGCTTTTCCACTATCACTTTGGCTTTTCATGGACTCTCTATTTACGGGTTTTTTTTACGGTTATTCAGCTTAAGAAACTTGCTCAACATTAAGAAGTTTCATGATGTCATCTGAAAATCACATTTATCTGTTACGAAATTGCCATAGAGAAGCTTCATAAAGTGTTTTTGAATCATTGATATTGGGTTGGTGAATTGAAAACTGCGGGACTTTGAACTAAAATTTATTCAACACAAAACCATCAATCCATTCCAAATAATTTCCATTATTATTGACGACTTCTGCCCATTTTACAGGCAATTTGCGGATTCCTCTTTCGTAGTAGGATTTTGGTTTGTGTGTGAGACAAGTGTGAGACTCAAAAATCGAGCTGGAGATGTGACATATGACAATAGCCCGCAGTTTTCAATTCACCAATCCAATAGTTTGCGCTCGAGAAGTTTCTGGGTTGGAGAATTTCAGGAAACACAAATTTACGGTTAGCTTTAGCAATAACTAACCAACAGCAATAACTAACTTATAAAGAAGATTATTGGCCAAATTGTACTCTGTGTACTCAGCTTGAATTGAACTTTGTGTGTTTTCCTTGAGAACAATCCCACGCACATATTCATTGAAAGAAACGATCTGCATCGAATGCCTTTTTGCTTATCGCCCGGAATAAGTAGTAACCAGAAGGAGCAAGATCAGGGCTGTATGCCGGATGGACCATCATCTCCCATCCAAGTCAGTTTAGTTGAGAACGAATCATCGAAACATGTGATCTATTAGGTTGATGCAAAAGTCTTTTTCATTTTTTTCGTACTTCCGTTAAAAAGTAACAAATGCACCAATTGAACAACGGTTTATTGCATTCGAAAGGCCAATTATTTTTCTGCAAAATGACATTAAAACGAGTTTAAAATGTCTTATGTTTGAATTTTTTTTGAGAGCGTGAAGTCGGGTAGTCAAAAAGGGTAGTTGATGATGCGGTTTAGACACTTTAGCTAATGGAAACCTATCTTGGTGTCTATAGATAAAAGATAGAGCACAAAAAGTTGCATGTATAGCCAAATTTTCAGATTTTTTTGAGAGCCTGAAGTCGGGTAGTCAAAAAAGGCGACGGCTCGATGATGCATTTTAGACGCTTTAGCTAAGGAAACCAATCTTGATGTTAATAAATAAAAGATAGAGCACAAAAAGTTAGATATTTTTTCAGATTTTCAGAGAAATTGATTCAGCCAATTTCTTTATAGAGGTTTTTATAGATTTTTATGAAAAACCCGTTTTCACTCTCGAATTTGCTTGAAAGTGAACCCAAATTGACTTAAAAAAGATGGGAAATTGAACAATAAACACTTTTCATTTAGAGCAAACCATAGGTCAATTGATGACTTTGTTATTTTTCAAAAGAAGTACGAAAAAAATGAAAAAGACTTTTGCATCAACCTAATAGCATTATCATGTTGATGATGATTGATTGAGGATGATTTTTCTCTTTCGGCTTTTTTCTCTGGCAAAGATTGACTTAAGTTGCTCGGAGTATTTGATTTAATTAAGTGTTGTCTTGCTATCCAAAATTTCCCAGTAGATAGGCTCTTCCAAATCCCAGAACACCGAGAGCTTAAACTTCCTCTCATGCACATTTGGCTTGATGCCGGGTTCGGTCTTTTCCCCCTCAGCAACCCATTGACGCTTTCACAGAAAGTTGAAAGTAGAATCCATTTTCATCCCTTGTCAAAATATGGGATAAAAAGGATTTGCGCTTGAATCAAGAAAGATGAGCGACATTGGTTTCTGACACTGACACGTTGCCATTTCTGGGTGTCTGTTAAATCATGTAGAATCCAAGTCCGTAATTTCGATTTAAACCCAAGTTTATACAATTGCTCGAGTATTTTATATGATGAACTGATAACTCTTTTGCTATTGAGGAAAATAAAGCCTTTTGTTGGTTTGAAAAATTTCGAGCAACTTGACATTATCCAGCTGGACCGCTGGATGACCACGCCCTTGTCTTCGAGCGTATATCTCCAGAACGGAAACCAGTTTGCACATGTCCGTATTGGAGCCTGTCCACACTTCACATAAATATTCTTTGCTGAGCATTAGAGGCCCTTGTGTTCTTGTAGAAATTCGTACAACATAACGTGTCGCAGATGTTCAAATGGTAGATATTCAATAGTTAGAAGAAAGTCAAGTATAAGTTAGTAAAATTTCAAAAACAGAGTTGCCAAAAGTTCGAAATAACAGAAAGTGAGGAAGCCTGGTTTCATTGTCTTTGAAAAAGTGTTCTTGACTTTATTAGTTTCACGCAACAGCAACACCTTCGTTTTTTTTTACGAGTTTAGCAATCAATAGAAAAAGTAACGACATTTCATACCCACCGACTCAATAAATAAAGAATTTATTCAAGAATTTGCTCCAATTGAAATGGTCTTTTTCTCGGTTTTCTTTGAGGTTGAATCGCGAAGTAAAAGAGCGTATGAAATGCTGAAAAGTTTATTTTCAATATCTGAAATAAAATTTGATTCCCAAATTACTCTATACGCTATTTGAGTTAAATGAACTTTTATGATTGCTTCATTGCAGTCATCCATTGCTATATTTTGGGAAAACTTTAATTCTTACTTACTTTGAAAGCAAACAAGTAAGCAACAAGAAAGCCGTCGAGGCAAACCAATAACTAAATGCGTCGACAAGGAGTACTTTGGCAAATTTGGAGGAAATTGCACACAACATAGCCACCGCGTTTGTTCCCATCTGGAATTTTGCGAAGTTGTCATTACAGAATTTGATAATCTCCTACCTGAAGTGCCAACTTGTACTCTCTTCGAAGATCTCGAGCTTTTGTTTGATTCGCTTGATGTTTTTGTTCCTTTTGGAAATTTCGATATCGACGTCGCATCAGAAAGAAGACAAATGAATCAAAAATGACAATCAGTGGCATGAAAAAGTAGCTGGCGAAACCCTAGAATGGTATGAGATAGACATGTGCATTTTCGATTCGTTCCTTGATAAGTGTACAGCGGAAATTCACATCCTGAACCCTTTTAAAACTTTTTCAAGCGACTTTTTCAAGCGTTTTTTTCACTATTAGAGCTCTAGCTTATAGAATGCTATCCAACGGTAAAAAATGTTTGAAATATATCGTTTTTAAAAAGCCTTAAGACGTGAATTCCCGTTGTACACAAATCGACGAGCGGACTGAAAAAATGCACATGTCTAGTATGAGACATTCAATTATTTAACAACCCATTCAGCCCAGCTTTCACAATTGTTTAGTAATGCTATTAAGGTTCTTTTTAGATCCAATACGGTTGCAATACGGTTCCAATACAGTTCTTTTTAGATCCAATACGGTTCCAATACGGTTCTTTTTAGATCCAATACGGTTCCCATATGGTCCCAATAAAGTTCCAATACGGTTCCAATAGGGTTCCAATAGGGTTCCAATACGGTTCCAATATGGGGTATTAGTTAGTAATGTTATTAGGCTTTTATTAGAAAGGTCTACTATTTTTCTACAGAAGAGTTATGAATCTATGAAATATGAAAAATCTATGAAATATGAAAATTCAAATGTTTTGTGCCTGGACTTTTTTCGGGGAACAAGAAGGGTCAAAAAGGGCGATTTTGTCTCCCAGAAACTCCACTTTGTCTCCCAGAAATCGATTCTAGTCTTAATAGAAAAAAGAAAGAGCATAAAAAGTTAGACATTCAGCCAGTTAGACAATTTTCAAAACAATCTTCTTTCATTGTAGGGAATTTTATAGAATTTCATCAAAAACAAGGCTTTATCATTGGACTCGCTTGGAAACGAGGCATAAATTGGGGCAAATCCGCGCGAAAATGCGTTTTCTATAGGATTTTTACTTTTAAATAGCCATTCAAAGCAGAAAAATGTGCTGAATTAAATGGTGAAAAAAATTATCAAAATCCGTCTTTCTCCTCCTCTCCCCGTAACGATTTTTTGCGCAACTCGCCATAACATTCTTCTAATTGGGCTAATCTTTATGATTCTAGTGTCATTTTGTTGCACTTGTTGAGATCTACAAAATAACACTAAAATCATAAAGATTGACCAACTTGGAAGAAAGGTATGGTGAGTTGCGCAAAGGACCCAGTTGCAATTGTAGAGAAAAGGAACCAAATTGTAGAGAAACGGAACCAAATTGTAGAGAAAAGGAACCAAATTGTAGAGAAAAGGAAGCTGGCACCATATTGGTTGATAAGGCTTTGAAAATTGACCAGTTTCGGTTTAGTTTGACCAGTCTAGCTCGAGTTTGACCGGTTTACGCCCAGTTTGATCAGTTTATTGACCAGTTTGGCCAATCTAGCTCCAGTTTGCCCATTCTAGCTTCAGTTTGATCAATTTGGCTCCAGTTTGATCAATTTGGCTCCAGTTTGACCAGTTTTACTTCAGTTTCACCAGTCTAGCTCCAGTTTGCCCATTCTAGCTCCAGTTTGCCCATTCTAGCTCCAATTTGACCAATCTAGCTCCAGTTTGACCAGTTTTACTTCAGTTTCACCAGTCTAGCTCCAGCTTGACCAATCTATAAGGTTGGCAACTTAATAATGACGCGTTTATGTAACAAATCATTTATTTCAAAAAAACACAAAAGAAGAGCTTTCAATTCGAAAGGTATTCTCCATTAGTATCTATGACTTCTTCCCATCTTCTGCGCAAATCCCGGATCCCATACTCGAAGAACTTGGGAGTTTTTGAGGTGAAGTAGTCATTCACTGCTTTTATGATCCGAGCATGATCATCGAACTTTTCTCCCTTCAAAAAGTGCTTCAGCGACCGAAACAAAAAGTAATCTGAAGGAGCCAGATCAGGTGAATAAGACGCGTGGGGCAAAACTTTCCAGCCAAGTTCCACGATTTTCTTATAAGTGATCTTTGCAGTGTGAGATTTTGGGTTCTCGCGTAAAAATCTGACTCTCTCCGGTTTGAGCCCCAATTTCTTCAAAGACTCGTTAACTCTCATTAATTGCTTCGAATAAAGATCAGCATCGACGGTTTGGCCAGGTTTCAGCACTTCATAATGCACCAATCCCTTGAAGTTCCACCAGCAACAGAGCATTATCTTCTTCCCATGGATATCAGGTTTGGGAGTGGTTTAAGGGGTCTGCCCAGCAGATAGCCATTGATTTTTGCGTTTAACGTTCTCGTAGTTGATCCACGTTTCGTCAGAAGTCAAAACCCTGTGAAAAAAGTCGTTTGATTTACATTTTTGTAGCAAAATTGAGGCGACATTTTGTTGCTTTGGGTCAGTTCGTGAGGAACCCATTTTCCAACTCGATTCTTTTCCCAAGTTTGTGTAAATAGTTTTTGATTGTCGTATGGGATACTTCAAATATTTCTGCCAACTCACAAACGGTGAGTGTTGGGCAATCTTCAATTAAGGCGAGCAAGTCATCGTCGACCACTTCTGGAGGATGTCCTTGGTGTGGCTCGTCCACGAGGCTTTCATCGCCGCCTTGGAATCTTTGAAACCATCGTTGACATTGCCGAATGTGTACAGGGTGGCTGATAATTACGTGCGCCGAAGAAAACGCCATAATTTAATTTTCTTTCAAAGAAAATGTAAAAATCTTTATTTATATAATAGTTGTAACAAAAGCATTTAATAATCACAAGAAATTTTTGAATGGCCCCATCCGCTTTGATACAGGCTTCAATTCGCTCTTTACAGAATCGACGTGCGGCGGAGATAATTTCATCTAAGTCGTTCCAGATTTTGATCAATTCTCGACGAAATCATTCAAATTGGTGATTTTCTATTTCTCAATTGTTCTTCCAAAAACCCGAAACCGAAAAGTCCAACGGATTGAGATCCGGGCTGTTGCAGGCCATTGATCCTTCGTCAAAAAGAGCCAATTTTGGTTTCGAGAAAGCGAATTGTTTTTTGGCTCCGTGGGCCGGCGCCCAATCTTGTTGAAGGGTCAAATTGGGATGGCCCTCTTCCATGGCACCACAGCTTTCTCGAGAATCTCTTTTGATAGACTTTGCGTTAATCTTCACATTTTTATCGAAAAACCAACGGGGTCTTGCCCGAAGCACTGATGCCACCCCAAACCACAAACTTTGAAACAGACCTTTGTAGCGACTTTCGTTTACGAGTGCTCTTGAGAGCGGACTGAGAAGTTGACGGTGATTTTGTGAGTTTTTAGCCACTTCCAAGGTGAAAATCTTCTCATCTGACCAAAGAACACGTCAATCGCCGCAACTTGAAAAAGCTCGCAATTTCTTGCATTTCTCCTTCCGGTTTTGCTTGGCTTGATCGGTGAGCACCCCGTTTAACAGTCGATAACTTCAGTCCAAGCCATTTTTCACTATCGATTGAACCGAGAAACGCGAAATTTGAAGCTGTTTTGCCATCTTGTTCAAACATCGTCTTTCGCTCGATCCTCCTCTTGATGATCCCACGCATCTTTCGGGTGTTAACGGTCCTCTTTGGTCCTCTTCCGGGCTTGACGAATATGCCCTCATCTTTCCATTGCCTTAGATCTTCTGGACGGTCCCAGAGCCACCCCAAGCCTCGATGCGATCGACGAGTTTTTCATGCCGCCTCGCCAGCGTGCGATTGCGTCCCGACTAGCGCACGTCTTTGTCATGACCAGAAAACAACTTTTTAACAAAAATTATTAGACCACGATAAAAAGAATATAAAACACAAAAGATAGTAATGCTTATACATTGTTAAAACTATGATGTATGTGGCGCACGTAATTGTCAGCCACCCTGTATACTTTTCTCCCCAAAAACAGTGATGATCGTGCGATGAGATTCAGCTGGTGATTTTCCTTGTTTAAAATCGTAGAACAATGCAGCTCGAATACGGAATTTTTGTCCCCATTTTTGCCAAAAGAAATGATGAAATTTGGAGCACTAAATGTTATTTATGTATACATCTTTTACTTTGTATATATGCAAAAGGAGAAAGGCGCTCCATGTTGTGAGTATTATTAGTTGCCACCTAATAGCTCCAGTTTGGCTTAGCCAAGAAAATTTGGCCCAAAGTAACCACCCCGTCCTCTAAATTTGTTTAAAAGAGTAACAAAAAACAATAAACGTTTTCCATTTAAAGCCAAGTGTAGGCTAATTGGTAAATTTGTCATTTCTAAACAAATTTATAGACAAAAGTTGCAAAAGTTATCAAGAATTATCTGCGAATCTAATAGTTTTTAAGTATTTGGATGGACTTTAAAAGTCAATCGTTAATTGGAGCTCTTTTTGTTAAAGCTAACAGTGAAATGAATTAGTTTATGAAAAAGTTTATCTAAATTCAAACCCAGTTAGTAGCTTTGAATGATGAGACCAAAATGAGAATCAGCCATCGAACGCCACATTCAGCTTGAAAACCAAAATGGTTGATTCCATTTGGCGTAAAGGTGACACCGCAACTAGCTAAAATGACGGTTAAATAAGATTTTGAGTTTTTAACTCACGGAGAAAAAGAAGGGCGAGAACGACGAGTGGATAGGAGATCATAATCGCGTACTGTAAAAGTCTTGTGCTTTCAAACATTTTGAAGTATTTTCCTTCAAAGGCAATGGCAAGTAGTCGATTAATGCCAAGGAAGAGCTGAAATTGATTTAAGAAATTGGTTGGTGTAACATTTGTGTCCTTCTTTGACATCGACTTTAGCTTACCCTTGCGTTGTATCCCATTGTCATTGACGCATAAACAATATTGCCAACTAGTCGATTGACAAATGGCAATAGTTCGTTGAGGTTCCTAGAATTGTCAAAATAACATAAAGCTTTAAATTTAACATTATGAAAAGAATTCTTCGAATCTAAACTCACCACAAACAACATGGTAGACCCCAAATCAAATGACCAAAGCTGGCCATTGTGAGAGCAATCAAATCCAACAAGAGATAATGTTTTACCAAGCCTGTAAGTTGAAATATTGATTAAGCCTAGGATTTCACGATAGTACAGTATACCACAATGAAAGTATTCTTGTACAGAGTACAGAAAGTACAGAGAAATTCTTGATATGAAAGCTATTCAGCCAACATCAAAGCTGAATCTGCTGAATACGGAATTTAAATACCTAGTTTGAGTTATAATTTCGATTCAAAGATTTGATTCATTGACTGATTATGATATCACTATTTTTTGTGATAATCTTTTGCACCAATCTTAATTATTACGTTTAAAGATGTCTTTTCATGTCGGAGATAGCTTTGCATCCGAAATCGAAGTTGATGATATCGATAAATTTCGATGTCAACTTGAAGAACTATATTGGAACCGTATTGGAGCCGTATTGGATCAAAATAGGAACCATATTAGAACCGTATTGGAACCATATTGGATCAAAATAAGAACCGTATTGGAACCATATTAGAACCGTATTGGATCAAAATAGGAACCATATTGGAACCGTACTGGAACCATAATAGAACCATATTAGATCAAAATAGGATCCGTATTGGAACCGTATTGGAACAGCATTGGAACCGAAGAACTTTTAAATTTGAGCGAAAATGAAGATGATGAAGAGGAAGCTTAGGTTTCATTGACTGGTTATGTTCTCTTTATTGCTCCCTGGTTCTGTTCTCTTTATTGCTTCAAAAATGTTAAATTTTGTATAAAAAAAATCAATTTCTAGCCTCATGATGTTTACTGTGAAGCGAGTACCGACCTATACCAACTTATGACAAATCGGGTAATCGAATAGCTCCAAAATACCAAGTTACGGGCAAATCACCGCAGCCGGGTTTTTTTTACATAATGACTGTCAATATGAAAATAGAAAAACATAGGGTTACCAAGAAAGCGTTTTCCTCAAAATCCGGCCCCGATTAATGCCTCTCCCCCCTTTAAAAACTCGAAACTCAGGGTATTCGATCTACTAAGCTGAATATCATAGTTATTGCTTCTATTGAAGGCTGTGCTTCTATTAGAATCAATACGGTATGTTAGCTCTAGACCTGGAAATTTGTAACCGAAAGCATTCTGGGTTGGAGAATCTGAATCCGTTACTGTATTTTCTCTAATAGTAGTGCGCACTACTTTTTTTCAACCTCCGCTCTGGGCGCACCACTAGTAGAGATGTAGGGTTGCACTTGGGTAATTAAACCAAATGAAATAACCAAAAATAGAGCAGTTTTCTTTAAAAACAATAACGGATCGAATCCCATCCTCGAAAACCCCTGAATGCAAATTTTTATGGCAATAGGTCTCAAAAAAAGCGCTAAATCCACCGGTGGGATGTAGGGTTGCACTTGGGTAATTAAACCGAATGAAATAACCAAAAATAGAGCAAAAATAAAGCAGTAGCCTGTTAAGAAGTCTTACCTTTCAAATACGAATTCTTTTGCACAACATGAATCCCGGCAACTCCAAAGCTTGTGCCGAAAAAAGAAAGCTGTAAACAATGTCATTTTGTTTGCACTTTACCAAAGATTTACCAAAGCCATAGTAAAAATTTCGATCGCATTTTGAGTCGAATCAATTTTTGAAATGGGAGCCATCGTTACATTTGATGAACTCATTGAATAAATTTAAAATCGCAGGTTTACACACAATTCTTGGTAACTTTTGTTTATAAATTTCTTTAGAAATGACAAAGATCGGCAACATTTGGTTCGGAAAATTTTTTGTATTGCATGGGAATCTCTCCGTGGGATTTCGGCGTATTTTGAACCTTGAATGACTAACAATTCAGCTATAGGCTAGATTAATGGGTTAAAAAAATCAGGAAATCAGTAAATTGGTCGGAAATCTTCTCACAAGACATCAAATTTCTACTTTGTGGGAAAATTTGAACACTTTGAAGTTTGACCGTACCTCGTTTTGTATGCTTTTGCGATTTGAATGAGAATTAGAATTAAAATCAATTAATTAATTAATCAGTGAAAAAACTTTTATTCAAAGTTGATCTGTTTAGTGGAAAGGCACTTTAAAAACTAATTTTTCTCTTGCAAACATTCAAAATTTGCTCTTGAAGTGGGTGATAGTCGTAGACTCGAAAATCGGGCCATTCGGAGATCGCCGAAAGATCCATTCCATCTAAAAGTTGTTCAAGACTTGAAATAGATGTATTATTGGGTTGGTGAATTGAAAACTGCGAGCTGTTGTCATATGTGTTGTCATATGTGAGAGTTTGAGCACTTTCTTCAAAAGAAACCCATTTTGGTGTCAATGGAAAAGTTGTAGAGAATCAAAAATTAAGCTTTGACCCAAATTTTCAGAACGATTCAAAAACTGGTTTTCAAGAAATGCCAAATTCACGAATTTTCACAAAATTTGCATTTTAAGTGAAACTACTAAGTGTATCTTTTTGGAAATTTGGCTATAAGCCTAATTTTTGATTCTCTACAAATTTTCTATTGACACCAAAATGGGTTTCTTTTGAAGAAAGTGCTCAAACTGGGATCTCCAGTCTCCATCTCCAGTCTCCATTCTCCAGTCGATCTTGAGTCTCACACTTGTCTCACACACAAACCAAAATCCTACTACGAAAAAGGAATCCGCAAATTGCCTGTAAAATGGGCAGAAGTTGTCAATAACAATGGCAATTATTTCGAATGAATTTATGGGTTTTATGTTGAATAAATTTTAGTTCAAAGTCCCGCAGTTTTCATCACCAACCCAATCTCCGCAAATTGCCAAGATAAGCAAATGATTACCATTTTGATGAACAGCAATTGTTCGTCCACGTTGCGTGTAGCTTTGGCCGGCTGTATCTATTTGGCTTTGTGAGCTAAAAGCGTATTTTTTGTTTTTTGGAAAAGAAAAGGATTTGAACTGAAAATGGTCGGAAATCTGCCCCAAATCTGCTCTAACTCCAAAAATAACAATTTCAACAAGCTTGAACGCTTGTTGAACTTGTTTAAAAGCTTGAAAAAGAAAAATAGCCCGAAAGCCTGTACTTTTGAACAAACAAGAGCTTGCTTAAAAGCTTGAAACGTCTTAAACTGTATAAACGAATAGTGAGCTTAATGCAAAAGAAAAACTAATACAATTTTACTTTCAAACACAATTTTACAATTTTACAACGATGTTTGAAGGTTCAGTGCTTGAAATTTTAGATTTTCTTTGAGAAATTTTCAATCAATACCTTGAGACAAAGAGAACGATCACTGGAGCTCGCAAATCCCATTGATTGAGTTGATTCGTTGCGCTGAAACTGACGTGTTACGTAAATTCTATTGAACCAACTCAGCAACTGTTTGTCTTCCTCCAGACTTTAGCAATTCATCGAAAGCATTTGCGAAGTCGCCTGTTTGATCATAGAAGCTCTCTGGAAGCGCCCCGCTCTGACTCGAATCTCCGTACATCCAAAAGTTTGCACGGAAGTTTTTCTCTTGATTGTCGTAGACGAGATTGGCAATTGTTTGAACCGCGATCTTCTCAGCTTTGAATGATGACTAAAGAAGATAACTTGTGAAGCTTTTTGAAACTTGTGAAACACTCACCCAGGTATCAGAGCCGTCGATCACAAAGAGTACTTGGCAGGAGTTGTCATCTGTAGTGTATAGTATTAGTTGTCAGTCTTACAACTGTTCAAGAAGTACATTTAGACATGATAAGCTTAAACAAGTCTCTCATCAATGTTTTAAACTGTTTCAAATTGTTCTATCGTTCCTCTTTACCTATCGGACTTCCAGTAATCGGATCAGTTTGAGTCCATTGTCCCAACAAGGTCCCAATCATTGCTCGAGCGTCCTAAATTTTGTTTTTAAGGGTTTTTCTCACTATCAGCTTCTAGACTTGGGTTATCAACATTATTAAATTCAATTTAAGTCTAAAACAATAGGTCTGAACTTGTTTGATATGATATAAATTTAGGCCAAGTCTGTTAGTTTCTCACCTTCAACCCTTGCGGATCGCTAGCTCTCTCGGGGTACATATCGGCACAATGAGCCGTGGCTAAAACAGTATGGTAAATTGATTTGTCTATCCTAGATTTTAAAGCATCACTTGTCTACCGTAACCCGTTCAATTAGACGTCTACCGTAACCCGTTCGATTAGACGTCTACCGTAACCCGTTCGATTAGACGTCTACCGTAACTCGTTCGATTAGACGTCTACCGTAACCCGTTCGATTAGATGTCCGGGATGACTGACCCCATCAGGCTGATCCATTTCGGCAAGCAATGATTCGAGATCTCCTTTCCTTATAGGTTTGACAGAGATATCTCTCACAGCACGGAACTGTCACAGTTGTTGACATGCTCATTTTCTAGACGCAGATAATTCCATACAAATCTTCGAAACACTTCTAGAGGTTTGACAGAGATATCTCTCAGTTTGACAGAGATATCTCGTAATGCACATTAACAAATCCGTTTCCAAAGTCCATGCTTCTCCAAGAAAAACATTCAATACCAATGAAAGTCGAAGAACGAAATCTTCGACGATGACTGCATAATAATACCACTTTGAATCGTAAATCATCTCTTCACGCAAAAAGGAGCATCACGTGGAGATCGTGGATCAATTAAACCCCAATCCATGAAAACATCCCACAAGAAAGTGTAAGTGAGTGAAAAGATGTAAGAAGCTATCCAAATATAGAAAAATTTACTAGTTTCATTCGGATTAGCCTTTTCAGCCCATTCGTAACCCGTTCGATTAGACGTCTACCGCAACCCGTTCGACTAGACGTCTACCATAACCCGTTCGATTAGACGTCTACCGTAACCCACGATAAATCAAGAATGATTGAAGCCGATTGAGGCTTTTCTTCGAACGAACTGGCAACGCATGACTAGACTACTGTAACCCAGTCAAGGTTACAATAGCGCTCGCAATTTCTACCATGGTTGATTTCTTCCAATTACTGTAACTAGAAATAGAAATATTTGTGAAGAGTTTAGGCCATTTAAATTTAGGCCCGGCTACGGTAGCAATTGTGAAAAAATTGCAATTTACAAGAGTCTCACCGTTTATCGGAATAATCGCTTGTCCAGGAGCTGTCTCTCGAAGCAATCCCAAAGCATGCCACGGATCCACGTTTCCGTTCGGGGCGGCAATATTGGAAGCCTAAACCTCTTTTATTTGATGTCATAAACCTCTTTTATTTGATGTATTTCTATACATTGAAGTTAGCAGTAAAGAAAGCATAGATATCATCAATTTGTTGTTGGATTTGTTTCGTTGAATAGTCGATTCTTTGAGCACCAGGATCTTTTGCAAAAATATCGTAACACATTTGAAGATACATGCTGAACGAATACATAAACGAATACTAGAAACTTTAAAAGATGTTTGCTCACTTCACAGGTGTTGGTGATCCGAAAATGTTGTAGCCAGCATCAGTCGATTGAAAGAATCCAAATTCAACACAAGTCTGATAGGTCCAAGTACGGTCGGCTCCAGCAGAAACTGAATTTGCATTGAATATCTTCCTATAATTCCTATTAGAGGAATTATAGGAAGATAGCTGACTCATCTTTTTCAATTCTGGGTTCATTATTTTACTAAAAGTACTCAAGCAAGTGCTCCAGATGGACCCTAACCCCTGTTCAACTAGAATGGACAGCAAGTGCTCCAGATGGACCCTAACCCTTGTTCAACTAGAATGGACAGCAAGTGCTCCAGATGGACCCTAACCCTTGTTCAACTAGAATGGACAGCAAGTGCTCCAGATGGACCCTAACCCTTGTTCAACTAGAATGGACAGCAAGTGCTCCAGATGGACCCTAACCCTTGTCAACTAGAATGGACAGCAAGTGCTCCAGGTGGACCCTAACCCTTGTCAACTAGAATGGACACTTTCAAGTACCATATTTTCTAGGAAGTGTCAATTTTCTATCAATTTTCTGTCAATTTCTAATCTTGTTTATAGTTTTTGCTCAATCAATCCGCTTTTTAATAACTTTTGGAATTTTGGCAAGAAACTCACGATCTCTCAACTCGGCGATCATCTCTGTATAGTTGTTGAAAGTCGTGAAGGGCTCCGTGGCTCCATAATATTGTGACATGTATCTAAATGTTGTTATTGAGTCATTTATCTATCCCGTTTTCTATTTCATCATTTTTGTACATACTTATTGACAGCGGCGAGTGATTGAAGTGCATCGCTTTGACTCTTCATTATGGCACAAACTCCACCAATGTCCCCTTCATTGTTGGCGTACCACTAAATAAATGGCAATAATTGTATTTGTGCACAAAGCAGGGTCATAGCAGGGTCAGGCCAGGAACTGGACCTGATTGGATGACAAATCAGTAACCAAAAGCATCCTAAACATTGATCACTCACTACTCAGCTCTGGCCGATCTGGCCGATCGATTTCTGGCCGATCTATTGGGTCAATTAGCTTAGATTAGAAATCGTTAATTTTGTTGATGCTGCTGACACAATCAGAATCTTTGATTGTGAGCCCTAAGCGCTATGGCGGTTGTTTACCACCAAAGTGCTCCCATTGCTACATTGTTTTCCTCATTTTCTATCTTTATTTATTATTTATTGTTTTGGGGTGTATTAGATTTTGCTAGATCTGCCGAAATCTGGACCCGAGCCCAGACCGATCCCTGGTTTTGATTCAAGGCTTACCCCAGTGTTGTCTCCCGAATATTGAACGGCTCCCTGGAAGTTCCCGAAGATATTACTGAAGAAGAATTGAAGATCGATTTCGCTCAGCTTTGAATTTTCATCCCAGGCTGGTGAAAGGCTAAAGTTTTAGGTAAATTGCATCAAATGCATCAAATTTCCACTCCAATTTGTACCTGAACGTATCAGAAAGGGTTTTGATTCCTGCTGGAGTCAGGGTCAGTTGCTGCATTTGAGTAAAACCAGCCTAGAAAAGTAAATTCAATTAAAAATTCACAAGAAACACGAGCATCTCTGAAAGGGGTTAAACTAAAGTATCAACTAAAGTATCAACTAAAGTAGCAACTAAAGTATCAACTAAAGTAGCAACTAAAGTAGTAACCTTCACAGCTTCAGCACAATCATTGTCATACATGCGAAGCGAGTTTTCCACAACAGTCATGTACTCTGAAATACTACTTTTGGATAGTAAAAGTGGCTTAGAATTTGATAAATTTGATGAATTTTATGCCTTTATACCGTAAAAATCAAGTTTGACGTTGATTGGAGCAGAACTGCCAACAGCGCCAGCAATTAGATTGGGGAATTTGTCACGAGCCCACAGTGAGAGCATTCCTAGAGTGGATTTGATTTTAAAAATAAAAGTTGACCATATTGTGATGACCATATGACCAAAATCAAAATCCTAAGCATCATTCTGATCGCTCACCCGAATAAGATCCACCAAAAGTGATCCACGGTGCTGTATTCCCTTCTACATCGTTGACGGTTTCGATAAAGAGTTTTAGATCCCAGAGGGATTCCCAAGCATTGCAAAGTCCCATTATATAGTCGGTTTTGTAAGTGGAGTTTCTAAACGTTAACCAAAAGTGAGTTTGCACAGCTATTTCATTGAAAATGCAACGAGAGCGCTCTAAACGCACTGATTACTCTGAATAACAGATCTTGGCTTGATAATCCAACTTATCAACTGACTAGGAAAGAGTAAAAGATCATTGTGAGGTTTCGAAACGAGATTCTAGAAGATTCTAGAAGATGGAGTTGATCTTGTTTTTAAAGATCACACGCACCTGGTGACGTTCCCTAGTCAGATCTCACTACAAAACAAAAAACAGCTTCAAGTTCTTTCCTGATTAGAGCTATAGAAAATCGAACGGGGAATTCGAATTTGCAAGCAAAATCGCAAAAGCAGAAAGTTTATCAAGTTTGGGATACGAACTCACGACAAAAATTTCACCCGTTCCGTAGACAAGCACACTACCAGCTACACCACGACCGTCGTTGAAAGAAAAGCGTAAACTCAGCTTAAAAGTGTATAGCAAAAACTTTGATACCAGAAATCTCGCGTTTGCGAGTTATTGAGCAGATTTTGATTACAGATTCGGATTCCCCGTTCGATTCTCTATCGGATGGGCTAGGTTTCGAAATCCCACGATGACCTAGTACTCTAGTTAGGTCGAGGGCTCAATCCCCTCTCCTGAAATCCATTCCTTATTTTACTTTATTACTAATATCCGTGTTCTGCTCTTCAAGTAGAGCGAGAGCTCGCGGTTGTGCCGAGCCGGGCATTTCCCTCTCTTTCTTCCTTTCTCTTCTCCCTTGTGTTTCCTCTTTCTTTTCTGGCAAGAAGATACCGGATAGCTCAGTCGTTAGAGCAATTGCAAAGCAAAACAAAAGCTCGAGGGTTCAATCCCCTCTCCGAAAATCTTTCTTCGCTATTTCTTATTTTATTACCCGAGAACGTGACTCTCTCCATAGCATCGATGTTCCATATAGTACACATTAGCCCCATATAAAGCAGCGTACTTTGTAAAAGTGACATTCTCATTTAGCACCCATCTAAAAAAGAATGTTATACAAAAATCTGTATATCATTCACTTTGCTGGATTAGCCGGTCCCTCTCCGCCAATCATCAAGAAATTCGGGCCACCTGTGCGAGCCCATTGCGTGTTTTTCCACCATCGCTGAATCCGATGAAATGATCACGCATTTGAATGGTTTTAAGCCACAAAGAATAGGTTTTAAATTTAACTATCATCGACTACACCTTAGCTTGTCAACTAAAGCCAACAAGCTTGTCAACTAAAGCCTCAACATTTTCACAAAAAAAGCCGCACAAACCTGCTCAAAAGTCTCAGGAACCGTGTTATCAAAATGGGCATTTGGTTGAGTGAATGTGAAAGCCGAGTACCCGCTGAGGTCCGCATTGTTGAGGTTCTAGACTTTGTTAGAAATAGGCTATAAAGTAAAACTTACAAATTCGGGTGTAATGACTCTGGGCCGATTCCTGAGCATTGGAACTTTTCGACTCACTGGATAGTTGGCAAATCCATCCTGAACAAGAAGTTAAATAGTAAATTTTTACGACTCACATCCGGCAATTTCTTGCCAAAATCCGTGATTTTCGGTGTGAATGGTTTGGCGTGACTCGGGAATTTCTTCGCCAATCTTGCTATTGTTTCGTCTTTTTGATTTTTTGTGGCTAAACTCTCACTGATTTATAAAAGTTTGCTTTTTATTTATAGATTTAAAAGAATTGTTTGTTACTGGACATTTGGTAAGACGACATTCGTTCCCTGAAAGAGCTAGAGTTAGGCTTAAGAGCTATGAAATGAGTTGAGAAACAAAATCTCAAACAATTTAAGCCATTATTGAAGCCATTTAAGCCTTTCTGACCTTTTGCAACTTCTGGAGGTCCAGTGAGCCAGTTGGTGATCTGGCGAGCGATAATTGCGTGGATCTAGAATGATGAAAGATTCCAACTACCAAATTGATTTCTATTCATTTCTATTCATTGATTGATATTGATTTATAAAGGAAAAAGATTTCCAACGGCTTAGTGCCTAGGAGATCTCCGGTGTGCTGTATTTTTCTCTCCATTAACCTTATTGAATCGAGTGTCGCCACTGGACGGTGCGTACATATCTCCACAATGTGAGCCACCTTTAAAAGAATCATTCTCAATATTGTTCTCTTTCTCAGACCTTCAACCAGATAAGTGACTTGAGAATAGTGATCAGAACGATATCTGCCCAAAGCATGCCATGGATCGAGATCCCCATTTGGTAAGACGACATTCGTTCCCTGAAAGAGTGAGTTGGACACCGCGGTTCTTTTATGGGTTGAGGCTCGGAGTACAAAACGTGGTCGGCGCCGGAATTCGAACCCACCACCTCTCGCTCATCGAGCGAATGAGCCAATAAGCCAATCTGCCAATGAGCTACGCCAGCACGTATCTCATTGTCGCTAGGGTAGGGCCTTTAGTCTTACCAGTTAAATGTCTAGGAGCAACACAAAGCAACACACTAACCGAATATCCATCAGTTCCTCCATAATAGTCATTTGTGTCTTTGACGGCTTTGTTGATGTAATCGGCGGTGAATTGAGAGCCATAGATGTCTATGCACGTGTTGATCGAAAGACTAAAGAAACAGTGGGTACTATTTTCAAGTCTTTCAAGTTCAAATCTTTTCAAGTTCTCCAAGCTCTTCAAGTCTTTTTCTGTTAGATTGAAAGAAACCTCAACGGAGAAGTGGCTCCAAAAACTCCTGGCGTGTAGTCGGTTGATTGATAGTATCCAAACTCGGTACAAGTTTGCCAGATCCAACTGCGAGCGGCGGCTAAAAAGGATTTTTTTACAATTCTCTCGATTTACTCGATTTACATTCTCTAGATCAATACTCACCAAGATCTAAGTCATTGTAGCTATCATCTTTCAGATATTCGACATCTCCAGTGTAGTTGTTGTAAAGACCCTAAAAAGGCACAAGAAATGAGAAATCCAAAGCGCTCCTAGAAGCAATCCTAGAAGACTAACCAAATAGTTCCCGCTTTCATCGCTGTTGAGATATTTGGCGACATTGATTAGCCCGGTCATTGGATCAGTTTTCACCATAATGTCGCACACTGCAGCAATGCTATCCGCGTCGTTTCTACCCTAAACTTTGAAGATTTAAGAGCAAAGTAGATAGAGATTGGCTCAGATTTGAGCTTAGTTCAAAAAAAACTGTTCACTTGGCCATTCGAGTATTGCACAATGCCCATAAACTGTCCGAAGATCGTCTGATAGAAGTACTGAATGTCGTTGTAGTTTAGTGAGAGTTCGTTCAAGCCGGGCACAAGTCTAGAGTAATATTTTGAGCTGCCATTTTTAGTAGCTGCCATATTTATTACCCAAAGTTTGTTGTCAATTGATCTCGACCATCAGGCGTTTTCATCAACTCCATTACTCCCTAGAAAACGGATTTGAAGCTTTACTGGAAACTTTGACGTTTGATTTTTGATAAGAGAAAGGCTTTATTTGATAAGAGAAAGGCTTTATCTGATAAGAGAAAGGCTTTATCTGATAAGAGAAGAGCTTTATTTGATAAGAGAAAGGCTTTAGTTGACAAGACAAGTTAGCTTTCTTAAAACGAATTTCAGACATCCAAAGTTGGCCAATTTGCACTGAAAATGGGGGTTGGTGCAAAACTTTTGTCTGCTACTGTGATTTAGATTCGAGAAATGGTAGATTCATTCTGAGGGAAAGGGACAAGGGAAAGGCACCGAGTATAAATTGGCCAAACAAACACCGGATCAAAAACAGCAAAAGCAAAGGAAGTAGCTTTATAGAATGACAACCTTTTGCGCTTGGAACTTTTCAAAAATAGACAGTTTGTTTAACATCAAAAATAGATATTTTGTTTAGCATTCAACGCCACTCACAGAAAAGGCTTTCTTCACGGCATTCAAGCACTCGTTTGAACCAAATTGCCATCCCTTTGCGTTATCGGTGCCATTGTAAGCGAGTGAATTCTCCACCACTTGGAGATATTCTGAAATCGACCTAGTTCTCGGTCTGGCTTTTTTCGAATCGAATCGAAGAGCCGATTTGATTCGATTCGAACCGAATACCAGATCTATTCTAAAAGAAGTTCTGACTATTTGATCTGTTATTGACTTGTGTAGCACTCACAAGGGAAAGGCACCGAGTCAAGCTGGCTTTTTGACTCGAAATCAAGTCCAACTTATAGAGTCGCCTATGGGGATCTCGAATCCGTTTTTAGTTTTTGCAGAACACTTTGCAAACGTGAGATATTTGACTTAGAAAATCATCAATTAATGAATGAGGCCTTATGAGGCCGCAAGACGACCTTCCAACAACTGTTTTGATGGTCTAGTGGATAATCTGCTAGACTACCGAACCGATAACATTTTTTTGCCCCCAAGTTCGAGTCCCACTCTTGTCAGATCTTTAAAGAACTGTTTCCCTACGTATTTGCAATGAATAATAGAGTTGAATTTTATAAACCGCTTTCTGTAGCTTTCAGAAATTTGGCAACAATTGTTTCATTTTTCAATACTTATCTACTGATTCTGATACTTTGAAAGGTTTTAGTTTTTGTAAATTATTTGTTGATGTTAGAGAAAGTGGTGTATAAAAATTGAGGCAATAATTCAAAGCAAATACGTAGGGAAACAGATTTTTTGTTTGGCGTTCGGCGTTTGGGTTTGGCGAGAATGGGACTGGAACTTGAGGGCAAAAAGGCAATGGGTTCGGTAGCCTAGCAGACTATCCACTAGACTAGCAGACTATCCACTAGACCACCGAAGCAATTTTTAAGGGAGACGGCTTCTTAAAGCAATGCACCGCACCACTAGTTGGCTTCGTTGCGAAAAATGAACTCAAGTAAGGTGGTCTAAAATTTGTGATCCAGATATCTCGCGTTACAGACCTCGAGGACGAAAACTGAAAACGGATTCGGAATCAGCGTAGTCGATTCTAGAAGATGGAGTTATCTTGTTTTTAAAGATCACAAACACCTGGCGACGCTCCCTAGTCAGATCTCACTACAAAACAAAAAACAGCTTCAAGTTCTTTTCTGATTAGAGTTGTTCGTAAAAACTAGTCGAATAATATTAGGGCGGTGAGAATGAAAGCAGCGCTTACATATCTTTCCATAAATAAAACAATTGCAAGCCTCATCCAATAAGTGTTGTATACTAATAGAAACCGTTTTTGACCTTTCAACTTGTTATTTTTGACCTTTCAACTTAAAAGTCACCGAAGTCTTCAATAACCTCCGGTTACTTTTTAACACCCAAGTCCTCAATAATCAATCCAATTCAAAATATTTCTGCATTATTTTGTAGAGGAGATTTAGGGCTTTCAAAAGGTATACAATACTTATTGAGTCCGAAATTTAGATGTCTCGCGTTTGCGAAGCGTTCTGCAAAAACTAAAAACGAATTCGAGATCCCATGCTGACTCGATCTTGATCTCGAAATGGATGGACTTGATCTCGAGTCACTATGCCAGCTTGACTCGGTGCCTTTCCCTTGTCAGAGTCACTTGCTTAGCATTCAACTTACCGTAGAAATCCATGGTTGCTTGAACTGGGCCCGATGATCCGACAGCTCCAATGGCCAACTCAGGATACGCTTGACGGAACCAAGCAGCAAGTGCTCCTAGAATTTTAAAGATTTCATAGCAACTACAGAAATTCTATGAATATGTTTTTCATCAAAGAATACCGGGATACGATCCGCCAAACACAACCCATTTCGTTCCCGTCCATCCATTTTGCTTATTGATGTATTTAATGAAAAATGCCAAGTCTTCAATAGCTTGCCGAGACGAGAGATATTTCAAATTTTCAACAGTTTGTCGTCTAAATGATTTCTGATTCAAATAGATTTCAAAAATTTTACGCAAATGGTTGACTTTTCCCATAGAAGCGATGCTCTAAATCCAAAACGGCAGCGTTGTGCTCGTCAGCCCACTGAATTTAATAATACTTTGATTTATGAGTTCTTATTCATATATTAATCTTTCCAATAATTCCAATAATATTTCGAATTCATCATCGAAATCGTTGTTTTGCTGAAAATTTGACCTGCATCCAAGGCAATGAGGGATTTCGACTCCAGTAGGGCGACTCTGGCCCCTCTCCACCGATCATCAGAAAAGCCACGTTGTTGCTGGCTCCTTCGTATCTCCGTTGAAACTCGTAGTTGAAGTAATAGTGCTAAATCATTTCTTATAGATTTTCCATTGCTGATATTTAAACCTGATTCCATGTGGTGTTGTCATCGGTGAAATGGTCGAGGAGTTGAGAGAAATAGCCCTCACCGGTTACGCCGGCTCGCTCTTTGATTAGGTCCTAGAAGGAAGCTTTTGGAATTTTGGAAATGGATTAGAATTAATCAGGCAAGTTCCTAAAGCTCTGGTGGGCATCAGGCTTCTGGAACCAGGCTTCACAAGTTGTTTTCCAATCTATTTCCAACCTTAGTGGCTGGCGGTGTCACTCGTCCTCCGCCAAAACGATAACCGAATATCGTTTTACGTTTATGCGCTGTTGAGGATGATATCTAAATGAATTGAACATTGCAAGAACAAAAGCTGATATAGGTAAGATAAGGCAATCTAGGTAAAGCTTTATCTACTTCAGCCTTTTCTAAACCGTAAGCAAGTTCAAGAAGCACGTTCAACAACTATTTTTTTTTGTCTAAAACTGGTCTAACAACGAACCAAAAGATTCAAACTCAAACCTGAAAACCAGGCTATAATTCAAAAGCTTAGGGTTGGCCTAAATGAGTCTCAAAACGGTTTTTATAAGATTCACAATCTTTACCTAGAACTGACACTGAGTTAACTTACCAAGAAAGCGACGAGAACCCCGGCGAGGAGCCGAAAGTTACCCATCCTAAAAGTTATAGGTTAAAACCAAACAAAACAATCCTTTCTTTGGTCAGTACAACTAAACGGAACTAAATACTTTGAGTTCAAAAACTGATGCGTTTTGGAAATGGTGACCGCTTCTTATCTTGCTCCTCTCGGCATTATCTCCACGAATGGACGCGGCGAGAAATGAAATCACTTTCAACAGAAGCACATACATCTGAAGGAAAGGGTTGAGCAGAATTCATTGTACAGAATTTGTAAGTTGAGCAGAATTCATTTGTTGGTCTCAAAGTTTGAGATTTGAGATTCAAATTTAAGGTTTAAGTGCTGTAATTGGATTTTACAATCAATTGCTTATTTTTCTGTTAGAATTTTTGCGAATAAGATACTTGGTCTGTAAATTGCAAAAAAAAGATTGTTAAAATGATGTTTATTACTTAAGAATCACTATTGTCAATTCTCGTAGTTGTATACCATTCTTGGCAAACTTCCTTCTCGTAGCCGGTGGTCGAATAGTTTCTGAAATTATTGTTGTCGAACAATAGACGAGCTAATGTGCCTTCAGGAGGAGCTGACTAATTACTATTTAATTTTAAAACTTGAATCAAACCTTATATCTTATATCTTATAAATCAACCTTATAAAGCATTTTGACTAATAGAACATTTGTTTGATGATAATACCGTTGGACTGGATTGCTATAATGCAAAGCTACCTGGGTTTTGATTTTAAATATAATCGGATAGTATTGTACCATTTAATAACAAATCTTATGCCATCTCTGATAAGAAAAGCTTCGCACTGAGGTAACGCTTTCGGTTTTGAAAAGAAAAGTTCGATTATCAGCTCGTCGTATCATTTCTTCGCATTCTCCTAGAATAGTATTATTATTAAGTAATTATTAAATAGTAATTAATCAACTCCTCGTGAAGGCATATTCTCCTAGCTTGTGCCAGATCAGGTCTAGATACCATTCTTTAAAACACGCTTAAACACACTTAAGTTGTGTACACTTCAGTTATCCATCAGAATTTAGCAAGCTTCATTCAAGATATTCTGCAGGCTACTCATCGGAAAATATTGGCAAAAATCAGCTCTCCAAAATGAGACTCTCATTGAAATTATAAAAAAGTTTACCTTGTTATAGTTGTTGATCTTTGTTAATTTGTTGTTAAATCATTGTTGTTCCCCCAACAACTTTCGACCGCAAAGTGCAAAAATGAGAAATCGAACAAATTTTCGTGATAGATTCCTGGTAACAACCCCGTTTTCCAGCTCAATCGACGCCAAGTGCCTCTTTTCAAACCTTTTACTTAGTTTTCTTGCTACAAAAGCTTTTTTTTCTTGTCCAATTCACCGTCGAAGATCAATTCAATGCTTCTTTGCGGTCGAAAGTTGTTGGCGTATTTGACAGCTTCTATTTTCCACCAACAGTCGATTCATTCTCATTTTGGAGAGCTGATTTTTGCGAATTTTTTCCGATGAGTAGCCTGCGGAATATCTTGAATCAAGCTTGATAAATTCTGATGGATAACTTAAGTGTACACAACTTAAGTGTGTTTAAGCGTGTTTTAAAGAATGGTATCTAGACCTGATCTGGCGACGAGCTTGGAAGAATGTGCCATTCCGCCACGAGGAGTTGATTCCAATTACGATTTTCCAATAAATGCACTACTTCTAGGCGAGAAAATTCGAAGAAATGTTACGACGAGCTGATAATCGAACTTTTCTTCTCAAAAGCGAAAGCGTTACCACAGTTCTTTTCGAGTAAATACGGCAGTTGAGTTTTTCTACGTACCGGAGAAATTTTCTGGTAGTTTTCGCGAATATCTTAGTCCCTGTAACAAATATAGTAACCATTAGCATAGCCTGCATAGCATAATCATCCATGAATTTTGTAGTACTTTTAAATATTAGCGTATATCTTCCACAAAATTTACTTTTTACATAAATCAATGTTGTTTTACTTGTTGTTTTGAAACTCTGAAAACGATGCCCACTTTCAAGCAATCATTGCCATTTTCTGATGTTTGAAACTGAATTTCAATAAATTTACGTTGAAAAAGCTTCGCAAATATCTCATAGTCGGATCGTTTGCATGAATACTTTTCTCTATAGCTAAAACAACAACTAAAACAACATTGATTTATGTCAAAAGTAAATTTTGAGGAAGATAACGATCATGTGCCCAAAGTTCTTTGTTCTTTAATCCCATTTTTTTTCTTTTTTCATACCAATTTTTATGGGTTTCGTCTTTGACTTCCGTTCTACCGATCACCAGACATTTACGGGCAAATATTTTTCACCGTTCACGTGTTTTATTTGTTTACTTTTTACTAGGACAAATCACTGAATCCATTCAATTACAGTTACTTCTCCATTCATGTTCTTGTCATTGCCAAGTTTCCAAGAAATCGCTAAGAAATTTGTTTTTCTCATGTTTTCATCGCATCACTTTCACATTCACCTATAAATATGTCACAGAAATTGTCGAATTTGATTCTTTTTTTATGAATAGAATCATATTTTGTGTAAATATGGCTAGATCGGTTTATTTTCTCTCTTTTCGGGTTTAGATTTTCCATTCTTTCTCTCTTTTTAGTTGACAACAATGCCTGAATAAACACAAGTAATCGCTTCAGCAGTTTTTCTTCTCTTCTGGGTTTCGATTGCAAAAATCGAGGAACTCTCCGTTCCCAAAAATATCGGATTTCCTCATTCAGAAAAATCTCATCTCTTCGACATTTCCGGGTTTCCGACTTTTGGGAAATCAAAGAACAAAGCTAAATTTGAAAGCATTTAGATAGATAGATAGATAGATAGATGGATAGATAGATAGATAGATAGATAGATAGATAGATGGATAGATAGATAGATAGATAGATAGATAGATAGATAGATAGATAGATAGATAGATAGATAGATAGATAGATAGATAGATAGATAGATCGATAGATAGATAGATAGATTTGACACACGCTAAACTCTAAAGTCTAAAGGCCAAGAATATTGTCCTATAGCCTTACCGATTTTAAAACTCACTATCAGAACTTAGAGGACAATATTCCTGGCCAAGCCAAGTCAAGCCAAGCCAAATCAAGCCAAGTCCAAGCCAAGTCAAGCCAAGCCAAGCCAAGCCAAATCAAGCCAAGCCAAGCCAAGTCAAGCCAAGTCAAGCCAAGCCAAGCCAAGCCAAGTCAAGCCAAGCCAAGTCAAGCCAAGCCAAGCCAAGTCAAGCCAACTCGTCAACTGATCCGTGTCAAGCCAAATCAATCCTAGCTATCCTAGAGTCATCTAGAGCTATCATGAGTCAGCACAGCTCAATAATTAGATCATCAGCAGCTGATGCATATTTGAAGAAAACCCTTTCCCTTTCTAGCTTTTCTACAAAGCAACAGCTTTTCTACAAAGTTTTCAGGGAATTTTCTTTGAAAACGAGTGTTTTTCAAATTTTAGATGTTATATATTTCAGCTCTTGATCTAAAATCCCAATAATTCTAGAATCTTTGCGAAAAACTTGGTCGAAACCCAAATAATTTTTAATCTAAAGTACTCAAAATGTGCTTTTGCCAATTTTTGATTACTTTGCTTTTCATTAAGTTTTCGAGAGCTTCATTTCTATATAATCACATGGAAAACCGAAGAAAATTGTCATTTATTTGCTTTTCTTTTTTCAGAATCTGATTTTAATTTGATTTTGCTGTAATTGAAAGGTTATGATTAAAAATTTGCAAAAGTTTTGCAATTTGGAGTACTTTTCGGAATTCTAATCAGCTGACAAGTTGCAAGTTGACCTAAACGGTTACGGGAAAACTGATAAGCCAAGAAAATTGGCAACTGAAGCCATTCATTCGTATATTTTGCTAAAAATTTGTTTAATTCAAAGGCTTTAGGATTCAATAGTCTTTTGAATGGGGTTTTTATCTAAATTTTTCTGTAGAAACTGTAGAATTGAAAGGGGAAAAGGTTCATTTTGGCCCCCACCACATTCCACTTTTGGCCCCCACCATATTCCACTTCTGGCCCCCACCACATTCCAGCTTTGGCCCCCACCACATTCCAGCTTTGGCCCCCACCACATTCCACTTTTGGCCCCCATTTTTGCCCCATTCTAGACTTGCCCTTCCCCCATTTTTTTGTTCCACTTTTGCCTCCCCACAGAACGCCGAAATACAACGAACGCTTTTCCCATTGCACACCTGCCCCGAATTGAAGCTGAACTCAAGATTGAAGCAAATTTGTCCCAGCTGACATGGAAAAATTCAAAACAATGTCTAATTCTATTCTAGGAATTCTGATTCTAATTCTAATTCTAATTCTAATTCTAAGAATTCTAGGAAAACTCTAATTTCACTTTTGTTTTGTTACCAGTTCTTCGTAATTGTTTTACAATTTTGTTTACAAGCTTGTAACTTTCTTTTTTAGGCAAAACAATCTGCCAAACTTGCCAAATCTGCCAACCAAATCAATCTGCCTGAAGCGGCCGAGCAAATTTCAGAGCAATCAAACAAGAATTGACCAAGAAAACGAAGGTGGAATTAGGTTCGGACTAAAGTTTTCCCATGTTTAATCTCATCTATTTAACAAAAACAAGTAAATTTGCTGTTCTAAAACCTTTCTTCTTCTTCTTTTTCTTGTTGTTTTGAAAACATTTCATCTTCAAACGCAATCAATTTCTTTCAAGGAACCAATGAATTTGAATAGCTGTTATTTCAGCGGAAAATTTAAAGCCTATGAGTTTATTTAGGCGGAAAAGCTTTGAACTCAAAAAAAAGGAAACGAAAATGAATAACTTCCGCATTTCAATAAAGCCCATCATTCTTTTGAGGGTTTTTGAAAAACGAAAAGACAAAGATGACCCCTAAGAAGCACAGGGACAAACCCCTTGAAACCCCTCGAAAAATCCCGGAAGAGCAAAAAGCCCTTGTAATCTGTTCTTTTTGCTTTTTTAGCTCTATTTGTGCTTTTCTTTGTTTATCTATTCCCTTAAACATATGAGAATTTAGATAACATTTCATAAA